CCGCGTCCCACATACAGCAACTAGAAGGATGTGCAACTATGACGTACAACTATGTACTGGGGCTTTGGGGAATAAAAAGGAGGAGGATTGGCAATAGATGTTAGCTCAGAGCCGGTCTTCCTCAGCAAGAAGAGGAGGATTAGCATGGATGTTAGCTCAGGGCTGATCTTCCTCACACACACAAAAAAATTTGATAGCTGAATTTCGGTGTAATATGTTTCCTTTGTAATCTTGTGTATATTTTATTTGTATGCATTTATAAGCATTATTTTGAGAAGGGGTCCATAGTTGCATCATACTGGCACAAAAACATTCCAACCTCTGCTTTAGTGGGTCGTGACCAGCACTGTTTTAAATGAAAGAGAATAGAACAGAGTATAAATTATTAGATGCACAAAGGATAACAATTGTTTTATAAAACTTTGGTTTTAGTTATGTGTGAATATGTATGTTCTGAGTTGTAGTGTAATATACTGTTTTTCCCATGGGCTGGTGACAGAATTTGAAACCATTGGCTTAAGCCTGAAAGGGGAATTTAAGTCCTTCTTTTATGGGTTCACAGTCTCTCATCTGAAACTCTTGGGGCTAGATGTTTTTCAAAATTCAGAATATTTTAGACTTTAGGAAGATAATACAGTGCATAGTCCATATATTGCGTAAGACCCCAGAAGAAACAGGGAAGCCCCTGTAATCAAACATATTAATGTATCTGTTTCCCGCAGTGAAACACGTGAACCTTCTTGCTAAGTAGAGTAAGTGAGAATCACAAGCAGCCTGCCATTAGTTCAAGTCAGGTTTTGCTGCCAAATGAGTGATACAAAGTACTTTTATCTTCCAGAGCTTTGCGGATTTTGGAAAGGTGGATAAGGGATAGCAGAGTCAGGACTCCTTCTTTATTTGACTACTTAGTGGATGGAAGTGGATGAGGACAGGGAATTCAGTATTTTTCATGATAATTTTTGAAATCCCCTCATTTTCCCATGATTATTTTTGGTGAGTCCATAGTTTAATACTCCTTCTATATACCCCTTCCTGTGGTGCGTTTAGTTCAGATTTTTTCCTAAGGCAATAAAAAACAATTTCTAAAGAAGTAAACCACAATATATTTTAACCATAATTTTTTTTTTTGGCCAATATACGTCACACTTTTCTTCTTCGTCTTCCTTAAAGGATGGGATATGAGATGTTATGCCCCATAACTACACCAAAGTTATGATCTATTTAAGGATAATACTTTTGGCACTATGATTCTGACACCAATTCTGATGTGTGGGTGTTTCTCCCAGACCACCAAGCCATTCTACGACACCAGCTGGGTGTCTTACAATTCAACTCAATTCTGACCCTAGCTACTTGGAGATACCATCAGATACCACAAGTTAAGAGCTCAGACCTATAAGACTGCCCCCCACTCCCCACTTCAGATGCCAGTCCCAAGTCCAGGTTGTCACCTGTGCTTCTGACTCAGTGGCTATTTATCTGAGGTTCCCACAATCTCCTCCTCAGATTCGATTAATTTGCTAGAGAGGCTCACAGAACTCAGAGGAGCATTTTACTTACTAGATCATTCATTTATTATAAAAGGCTATAACTCAGGAACAGCCAGATGGAAGAGATGCATCGAGCAAGGTATGAGGAAAGGGCACCGAGCTTCCATGCCCTCTCCGCACACCATCCCCCCCAAATTTCTGCGTGTTCACCAACTGGAAGCTCTCTAATCCCTGGCCTTTTGGGTTTTTATGGAGGTTTCATTACATGATTGATGATTGATTAAATCATTGGTCATTGGCGATTGAACTCAATCTCCAACGGCTCTCCCCTGCCTAGAAATCGGGGGTGGGGCTGAAAGTTCCAACCCTCTAATCACCTAGTTGGTTCCCTGGCAACCAGCCCCCATCCTTAGTGACTTAAGGGCTTTCCAAAACTCGCCTCATTAACATAAACTCAGGTGTGCTTGAAAGGGGTTTGTTATGAACATCAGGGTATGAGTTTGCTGCTGCACGTGGAAATTGAGCAAACACCGTTACGTCTGTAATTAACGTTACACAGAACATAACATAGAACATGATGTAGTCTACACAGAAATCTAAATAAAATGATGTACAGCTGAAGTTTATATAATGTTATAAACCATGGTTACCTCAATAAAATTAATTAAATTATAGAAAAACGTTACACAGGCAACAGTGTGTTGTGATGAGGAAAATAAATAACCTTTGTTGTTAATAAAATCCCTACCCCAGGAGACCCCATTGCCTCTCGTTGTTCTCTTCAGGGGCAATGTGGTTTCCTGGAAAAAAACAAACCTCTGGCTATGGAGTTCTGGGCCCAGAGCCGTCCCTGGTGCACCTCTTCCCGGGGGAGATGAGGATATTGCACAGCAGGCTGATACTCAAAGTGTGGGACTTGTTTGAATTGAGTCAAATAGTGGAAAAGTCCCCTACGAATTTTTTTCAGTCCTGGTTGTGTGAGAATGGCTCCGTGTAGTGCTAGGTTCTTAACACTTCCCTAACCTTTGCCAAAATATCTTTTTAAAAAACCTATTTAAAAAAAATTTTTTTTTCCAATTGGGGCATGTATATATGTATATGTTTACTTATTTTAAACAGTTTTATTCAGGCATAATTGAAATACAATAAACTACACATATTTAAGTGTACAGTGTGATAAATATCAACTTAAGAATACACCTGCGAAGCCATCAGCACAATTTAGAAAAATCAACATATCCATCACCCCCAAAAGTATCCTCATACCCCTTTGCCATAAGTATCCAGCTCACGGAATTTTCAGAAACTGAACATAATTCCGTGACCGAATGCAGATCCAGAGCCCAGAACCCTCCTTCCTGCCCACCTTGTGATTTGAAGGCCAGTAGCTCAGATCTGCTGCTGACCTGACCCTGACTCTAACCCTGGCTCATGTCTGCTAAGTGCTGCCTGACCATGCTGGTGAGTTAGGCTGTTTGCATTCAGACTGGGGCTTCATTTACCCTTGGGGAAATTATTTAGCCCCTTTCTGCCTCAGTTACCTTATACGTAAAATGGGTATAATAATAGTATTTACCTCATAGGGTTGTTATGGGGATTAAGTGAAACAATCTTTGTGCTTGGAACTGAAAGTTAATTTAGGGACCCAGGCATGTTAAGTATACAGCTTTTAAAAAGCTGTATATATTTGTGTAATTTTCTGGATTCTTATTATTAGAGAAAAAAGAGTCCTGGAGGTCAGGCCTTATCCTCCTTTCTGTTGGTCTCAGGCGAAGGAAGAGGAAGTAAGAGTTATTAGAAGTAAAAGCAGGGATTCTGGAAGAGTCTGGCACACAGAAGGAGCTCAATAAATGTTTACCGGGTCATATTGATTTAAAAACTTGGTCTTGGGCCGGCCCCGTGGCTTAGTGGTTAAGTGCGTGCGCTCCGCTGCTGGCGGCCCAGGTTCGGATCCCAGGTGCACACCGACGCACCGCTTCTCTGGCCGTGCTGAGGCCGCGTCCCACATACAGCAACTAGAAGGATGGGCAACTATGACATACAACTATCTCCTGGGGCTTTGGGGGAAAAATAAATAAATAAATAAAATTATAAAAAAAAAAAACCTTGGTCTTAATGGAGAGATATCAAAAGCCTGTTTTCTTCAGTTGTGGGTCATAAGTTTGGTGAAAAGGCCCCTAGTTGCCCTCAAGGAGCCAAGGAGCCTGAGCAGATGTGTCCTGGTTTCTAGGAGTGCAGTTCTGGTCAGCTCTACAAAGTATCTGACCACCGGGCTTCCCCAAAATTGTTTTTCAGTTCTACATAAAAATGGAGACATACAGCTATTAAACTGTCTCAAATTATAAGAGACTAAAAATGGACTCAATCTGGAGGTACTGGTAACCTTTTCCTTCTTGATCTCGGTGCTGCTTATATGAGGTGTTGATTTGTGAAATTTCATCAAGCTCTGCGCTTTGTTTTTAAAAATTGTAGTCTAATTTACATATATTAAAACACACAAATCTGAAGTGTTTAGCTCTATGCATTTTTACCTATACTTGAAACCATGTAACCCTCACTTAGATCCAGACATAGAATATTTCCACCACACCTGCAAGTTCCCCTGCGTCCTGTTCCCCAGACGTAAGCACTTTTCTAATTTCAATCACCATAGCATTAGTTTTACCTGTTCTTGAATGTCATAGAAATGGACTCATACAATATGTCCTCTTTTGTGTCTGACAGTTTTCACTCAACATAATGTTTTTGAGATTCATCCATTTTGTTATCTGTAGCCACAGTTCATTCCTTTTTATTGTTGATTAATATTCCATTGTATGAATATACCAGTTTATTTATCCATTCCACTTTGATGGACATTTTCGTTGTTTCCAGTTTTAGGCTATCATGAGTAAAGCTTCTATGAACATTTACATTCAAGTCTTTTTGTGTCCATATGTTTTCATTATTCTTAAGTAAATACCTAGGAACAGAATGCTGGGTTATAAGGTAGGCATGTGTTTGCCTTTATTAGAAATTACTAAACAGTTTACAAAGTGGTTGCACTATTTCCCACCAATGATGTATCCATATGATTGCTGACACTTGGTATTTTCAGTCTTTTTTGAAAGCTGTATATGTGTGTGCAATACTCTATGTGGACATTATACTTCAGTAAAAAGTTAAAAAATTAAACCAACAATAAAAATGATGGTAGTTGTGTCTAATGCCGAAACTCTGAAAATTTAAATAAATCATCCGGATGTGTTGTTGACATCTGTCAGGAATCTGATAACTAAATGTTGCACTGTTTAATTGATGTATTTTTGTTTTACATTATGCAGAAATTTTAAGTGGTTCAGCCTTAGGGTTGATTGGGGAAATATTGTTTCTGGAAAAAAAAATGTCTCCCCAAAGGTTCCTTCAGAAATCTTTTCGTCTCCATCTCTCTTTTAGTTTGGATAGGAGGACTTAACGATTTAGAATATTTTGACAGGAGCTCACTGCTTTTCTTCTTCTTTCCCATTTCAGAGCATAAATGCCCAGTGGACGAGCGGGAGCAGTTGGAGGAAACCTTGCCCCTGATTTTGGGGCTCATCTTGGGCCTCGTCATTGTGGTAACACTGGCGATTTACCACATACACCACAAAATGACTGCCAACCAGGTGCAGATCCCTAGGGATCGATCCCAATACAAGCACATGGGCTAAGGGCCATTAGGCAGACAGCCCCCAAGGGCCCCCTCCCCCAGCTGGATCAGGTAGAGAAACAAAAGCACTTTTCCACCTTGTATATGGGATACACCAACATAGCTACAATCCAGCAGGCCTGGGTATCTAAGGCTTGCTTGGCCTGCATCCATGCTTAAACCCAGGGATGGGGGGATTCTTCTGGATTCATGGGGTGAATGGCAGTTGTTCTCTCCATGCTGGGGAATGGGGATGGAGGGGACAGCCAGCTTTTATGCTCATGGGGGCTTGGTTTTGCCTCTCCAAGGAGCAACACATACAACTCGGAGGGGTATTTGGCTCTGAAGTTTAAGGACTGGAAAAGACACTTCTTTTGGGAAGACACTCCTTTAGGTTCAGAGGAATAGGGGTGCTTTGCTCCCTTGAACACAGCTGGCTTACCCTATGCAGTTGTCAGTGCACACAAAATACAGCCTCAAGCTCCCTGCAGCAAGACCCCTGAAAGTGATCCACGCTTCTGGCTGGCGTTTTGCATGTCTAGTGATTGTCTTGGGAATGTTTCACTACTCCCTGCACCCAGTGACTTCGCAGCACAAGAACCCGTTTAATGTAACTATGCAGAGTTGTTTGGACTTCATAGTGTGTCAGGTCCAAGTAAGGGGACCTGAAGAATCAATCATGTGAGTTTGTTTTTCAAAATGAATTAAAAGAAAGTACTGTCTAACGTTTGGTTGCTTTCTTGAAACAAGAAAACAAAACTAAAATGGTTTCTTCTGCATTTAGAGGAGAGGAGGGAATGAAGATGGGCTTTTCATTTCTGCGCGAGGAAAAGCAAAGAAAGGGCAAGGAAGCAATGAGGGGAAAGTTGGCTTTTCCAGGTGAAAAACCATGGATTTACTTTGGCAAATATAAGTAGTTTTAATAATGAACCTCTTGAACCATTGGTCTAATATTGCTTCTGATGCTTCTGGTCTTGAGTCTGACATTTCACTTTGGATTAAAAAGCTGGGCTGAACATGGTAGCCTAGGGTTGAGTTTATCTGATGTAATAAATGTAATTTACTGAAACTTCCTAGGGAAACATATATAGTTTGAATTTCCCTCACTTTCTAAACAATCATTTTTCAGAAGATCTGAGTCGGGGGAGGGGAAACCCTTTTCTCTGGTGTTAGAATCCCCCACACCCCACATAATCTTCACCATATGAGAGGCAGCTCATGAGTTCATCTCTCCAAGTCTTCAACTGCCAACAGTAGCGCGTCCTTAGAAGTTCATTATCCCCCAAATCTTGATAAGCATCAGCCAGCTACTGTTCTATTACTCATTTCTTTGCTGCTCTGTCAATCCCAATCTTTTCCCCTAAATGATCTCTCTTCAGTGTCTGCCTGATACTGGTGAGGGAAAACTCCTGATTCCTCATAAAAATTGCACGTTGCATGAGGAAAGGAAGATACATTGGTACCCGTGGACACCCTCCATGTTTACTCCACTCTTATCACCTGCAATTTTCTCACCTCCAAGCCCCAAACTTGACAAACCCTTTCCTTTTTAGCATCTCATGTGCTTTTTAAAAACTTCACATTTATTTGGAACTATCCAAGGATTTGGAGAGAAATGGACACTTAGATGTATCAGTGAGTTACCCTTACTTTCTGTAACCGCTTCAGAAAAAACTTCTAGACCTTTCTGAGTCATACTTCTGAAAACCCCATATTTATTTAATTTACTTTCACAAAAGCAAATTTCTGGGGTTTTTTTGAAATTTAACTTTCACAAAACATAGGACTCATGATTAGTTTTGGAATTGTCATTCATTCATTCATTTGTTCAACAAACAGGTTTTGAGCACCTTCTGAGTGCAGGTTCAGTGCTGGGTATACAGTGGTAAATTTGACAACTGAGAGTCTGTAGTGGGCGGGAGTGACAAGAAAACAAACAGCACACATACACAGGTCATTCTAAAAAGAACAGAGTGTCCCGGCTCTTTTCAATATGTTGTCACATTGCCACATCCCTGTGTCTAAGTGGACTAATTAAATCTTTCTAGAACCCAAATTTCTTAATTCTCAAAATTAAGAGTGGTTTTTCCACCTGTGATATGCAGTACATATAAAAAGCCATATTACTATGATTGTTATTGTTGTTAATCATATCATCTTTATCTAGCTGTCCTGAAATTAGGTCTCAAGCTCAGCCTAATTTCTTTGAACCTTATCTTATTTCTCAGTCCTTTTTATTTATTTATTTGTTTGTTTATTTCCTGAGCTAACATCTGTGCCAGTCTTCCTCTATTTTGTATGTGGGTCGCAGCCACAGCATGGCCGATGAGTGGTGTAGGTCCATGCCAGGATCCGAACCCAGGCCGCCGAAGCGGAGCACACTGAACTTAACCACTACACCACGGGGCAGGCCCCTTAGTTCTGTCTTTATGTTCTTTATCAACTAACCACAATAAAGTGGAGCCTCCCGATCAGCGCAGAGGCAGTGGTCTCTGGGTGCAGAAGGCAAGGTGTCCAGTGAGACTGACTCAGCCCTGGGCCTCAGCTCTGGGCTCCTTTCACGGCCATTGCCAATGTCCAGCATTTCACGGCTGCTCCTGCAGCAAGAACAAGCCGAGGCTGTGGCTCATCTATCCACATTGCTTCCCAAGCTCGGAGATGGGAGAGAAAACAGACAAACCACAGATGCTCAATTACCGCTCTTACTGTCATTTTTCTTTTTTACTGGAGTTTTAAAGACAAATGCCTCTGGGCACAAATGGATGCTGGGTCTGGTTGCTGGTCTTCCTGCCTGGAAAATCCAGGCTGGATGAATGATATGCAGATTTCTTTGGGGGGAGGGTGAGTTTGATTTAAATTCTGAGCATGGTTCTTTGCAGGGTTCCCCCTTCTTAGGAAACAGCTCCCAGTGAAGTTGCCTCAGGGGGCATGGAAGACTGTTCTCCAGCCTGAAAAGCTCTCTGAACTATAACCACTCTCTTCTCACCAACTGTCCAATCTTGACATTAACAAAGACTTGGCAGAGCCATGTGGGTGTGGGAGACACCATAGAAACGTGAATGGAGAAATGGGAGGAAAGATGGTAGGAATGACCCGAGGGTCTGGTGGAGGCTGGGTGTGCTCAGGGGTGTTTTACCAGGAGGACAGTCCCAATTGGCATTGGGCACAAACACACCCCTGGAACAAACAGCCGAGTGACCGGAATCAGGCAGACGCAGCTCTAAATCAGTATGTCTCAAAGTGCAGTTTGCAAGCAGCCTGCATCATCATCCCGGGGGTGCCACTGAAAAACGTCAATCCTAGGGCATCCTCCCAGACTGATAGAGAATCTCTATCGTGAGACTTAGAATCTGTAGTTTTACTATGCTCCCCAGATAATTTTGATGCAACAGTATGAAGAAAACTTCTGGTTAAAAAGCCTGTGCTATCAGCCTGCCTGCAACATTAGGGAAATTATTGGGCTTCTCTGTGCTCATTTTCTTATCTGAAAATGGAGCTCACTCCCCGATCCTTGCCAAGTTATTTGAGGATTCATGCCAGTACATTTAAGTCCCTAGCACAATGCCTGGCACACTGGGAATGCTCCATAAAAGCCAATATTAATGATCCATTTTTCTAGCACAATTCTTAACATGTGTATTCCAATTTTACCTGCCATACAAGTTCATGAAAAATCCAAAGGGATACCGGGGTTTAACCCAGCATCCACAGTTTTCCATGTTAGTTTATTTTGAAATCGGAGTATGTTTCTGTGCAGGGTTTCCCCCGCCACCAGCCTAGTAAACTACTCAGGAGGTTGTCAATTTAGAGGGGTAGGGGAGACTGTCTGAGTCCATGAACTTGGATGGGAAAAAATTACAGCTTTAGTTTTTACTAACCTTAAATGAAAGGTAGCATTTCCTTCAATTATGAACATAGGCACCAAACCACTGTGGTATAAGCAGACCTGGGTATTTGCCATCAGTAGAAAACATCACATTACACTGTTGGAGATATCTCAAAAAATCATTTATACTCATTACTTTGAAATTATGGTAGTTATTAGACCCATCACAAGATATTGTTATTTAATGCATTATAACAACAAAATTAAAAATATTTGATAACTATACTCTAATTGGTTTTCCTTGTAAGACTAGTATTTTACTTGACGCATTTAAAAGCATTTTTCTGAGAGGAAGTCAAGATGGCGGCGTAGGCAGACTCTGAACTCACCACCTCCCGTGGACACAGCCAATTTACAACTACTCGTGGAAAAGTTACCCCTGAGACAGAACTGAAAACTGGATAAGAGGAACTCCTGCAACAACAATCCTAACTGAGGTAGAAGAGGCAGAAACTCCCTTCTGGAGAGGAAAAACGCCACCTTCACAAGCCGCCGGCGTCACGGCCACCAGCAGCAGCTCACAGGTCTGCAGCCTCCCTGGAGGAGCGGGGCCCTGAGCCGGGGAGCACCCCCGCTGTGGGCATTTTGTGGACCCAGCACAATCGAGACGAGTGGCATAATATCTGACTTTGCCTGCTACTAAAACATTGGGGAGTACCCCCAGAAAACCCGGTTCACAAAGAAATTAAAACCGGCTCCTAAAGGGCCCATGCGCAAACTCACCCGTTTCAGAAAGCAACCTAAAATCAGCAGAAAGAAAGGTGCACAGTGCTTGGTGAAAAGAGACTCACCTAATAGGCCCTGTGTGCATCTCGGTGAGAGGTGAGACCTCTCCAGGGTTGGGACATTGGCGGTGGCCATTGTTGTGGCCTGGTGTGGGCGTGCTGACACAGACGCCATTGGAGTTCTCCCTGAGGCCTGCTAGCCCAGGTCTGCCACACCCGCTAGAGCACCGATTTAATCCAGCTCAGCCAGGGCGGGCAGCCCACCCTAGAGACTGGCCCCACCCAACAACAAGCCCTCAGGCAACTTGTGGGCCTGCATAGATTGGTGACT